CAACATAAGACCCCTGACTAGAAGTGTCACAGCCAAAGCTTTGGTGTGGTATAGCTCCAGAAGTAGATGGCCATGGGGGGGTGGTGTATGTGGGAGTTGGGATCTTGACTAAGAAAGAAAAAGGCATGAATGTTTCTAATGTACTCAGAATCTCTCTTAAGGAGAAGTGAAGGGTCACGATAAAAATCTTGTGTGGTTTCAAGAGATATGAGGATTTCCATATCAGGTCCGTGAAATCTTGTTCCTACCGTACTGACAGATACATTGAACTAGTTCTATCAAAAGTTTGAGCCTATTACCAATCCAGAAATGAATCCATGGGGCCCATAGCACTGAAGAATTGTGGGCAAATCTCACACACACAGCTAACTGATGTTGAATGTGATACTCCCACTCCATACCTATGAGGAGGGTTGACTTTATACCTGGCTTTGGTGTTGAGTCCCTGTATAGCCTTCCCCAACAGGAGACAAATTTGAGCAGGGACCACGGGAAGCAAGAGTCCCACAGCCAGGATGAAAGCCAAAGTTAGAGAGATGAAGTAAAACATGGCTTGACTTTTTGAAGAACTCTATCCTCAAGCTATTTCCACAGAAAAGCCGCCCTGTGGAAAAAATTACTAAGTGCATTCATTCAGAGAGGTGAGTGTTATGCCCAGATCACAGAGTCCCCCCACCACTCCCCAAAACTAACTAGGAGACTGAGTCCTGTATGTAAAACCAAAGAGCCTTTATTCTCACATAAGTCTGCAAACTCAGACTCTCCGTGTGTCCATCGTATTGGAGTGGTCGGTGAGCCCCGAGCTCAGTTAGAGTTGGGTTTTCATAGTAGCAAAGGTGGGGGTGAAGGATTTCTAAGGTTCAGGACCCCTGATTGACTGACGTTTGTCTAGGGGTGTCCTGGTGAAAAGCGATGGGTGTGTGCTGGCAGGTGGTCCTATCTACAATGATTGGAACGTTAGAAATTTCCTTTGGATGGTCTGCTCCTGGGTGGTGCCTGGGTGGTCTCAGTTTGTGGTCCTTCTTGGAACCAGGTATTGTACTAGACTAAACTTATCCTCGGGCCTATATTGAGATCATCATGGCTGGGTCCTACAGTGAGGGTGAGTGATGGGTGAGTCAAGAAACACCGATTACAGGAAGACTAGAGAAACAGAGGGATTCCAGAATAGAACTTGGTAGGAAAGCCACACAGAGGAAAACTTGGTATAACCCTAAAGGAACCAGCAGGCGTTCTAGAAAAGAAGTACCACCAATGCACTGCGGCACTGGACGAACCTTTATAGAGCAGGGTAACAACTGAAAGCAAAGGGAACACAGCCAGCAGAGAAACCACCCTCCCGGAGTCAGGCCTGGGGCAGCAGCATGTTCAGTTAGGATCTCAAAAGAGCAATGAAGGGGAGAGGAGAAAGAAGGAAAAGATTTTATGAACTATGACAATACATACACACAGCAATGGAAGCGTGAGTTTTCAGGATTAGGGATAGTGCTAAGGGTGCTTTGAATAGGAACGGATCCCATAGGCTTATGTATCTCAGGGCTTAGTCACCAGGAGTGGAACTTTTTGAAAGGATTATGAGGATTCTGGAGTGACAGCACTGGAGCAAATTCTTAACTCTGTTCTCAAGCAGACTTTTTAACTGTTCATTTCCTACTTTAGTGCTAATTGCACCACGCATTTTACTTACCAAGTAGCACATATGGAAGACGCTGAAAGACTGCTCAAAGGGCTCACAGCAGAAAGCTCAGGGCTGTTCATGCAGCTCAGGGGGCTGCGTTCTTTCTGCCTGACTTTCTCTTAGCCACCGGCCGCTGGGATGCAGACATATAGAAACAGCTAGAAGAGAACATGGAGTTGGGAAGGGCTCTGCTAGGGAGGCATGGAGGGGAACTGGAGGGAGGAAACAGGAGTAGACATAATCCTATTTCACTGTATATATGTATGAATTCAAGAATAAGGGCAATTAATTAATAAAAACAGATACATCACAGCGGTGCACACGGAATCCAAGCACTTGGTAGTTTGAGGCTGTAGAACTGTAGTTCTCATCTATCCAGGCACACATACTGAGAGGGTTTCAAACCAGAAAACCCGAAAGCAGCTCCCCAACTGCTGCAAAGACCAGATACAGATATTGATTTGCTTTTCTGTTGCTGCCACAAAACACTGACCAAAAGCAGCCTAGGGAAGGGAAGGGTTTGTTTCATTTTTCAGGTCACACAATCCATTAAGGGAGGAGCCTTCTTGATAATTTGGGGTGGAGCTGCTGGTGGGCGGTACAACACGCTGGGAAAGGGGTGGGGCTGGATACCAGAGGCGGGGTCCTGTGAAGGGGTGGGCCTGTGTCAGGGGCGGGGCCAGTCGTAGCCTCACTTGAAAGGGTTCTAGGGATCAGACAGTTGAACGCCCCAGACCTAATGTACAACAGTCGTTGAGTCCAGTGATCACGGACTGCACACGTTGGAGCTGCGGTTCCTTCTCGCCCTCCGCTTCGCTGCTGCCACTGACTGCGGAGCTTATCAAGGCTCTGTTCCTGGCACCACGAAGGCCTCCTTGGTGTCCAAAAAACCCTGAACCCATGTGGGTGGCTGCTGCAGCCTAGGGACACAGGGACTGAGGGCCTCCAGCGAGACTGCGGCAGGCCAACTGATGGAGGAGGAAGAAGATTAAGGTAGTGATCTTTTTAAAACCGTGGGGTTATTTATCATTGCGCTTATACTAAAAACTTTTAAGGAACTTTTTTGTTTGAGGAATTTACTCAGTAGATCGTGGATTCTCAACCTGTGAGATGCAGCCATCGAAAAACACATATTTCTGATGGATTTAGAAACTGAAACACCACTTGGTAGCAAAATTACAGTTTTGAAGTAGCAACGAAAATAATTTTATGGTTGGAGGGGGTTCACCACATGAGAAACTGTATGGAAGGATCGCAGCATAGGGAAGGTTGAGAACCAGTGCTCTACCCAGACAGACACCTGTGGTGTAGACAAAAGGAAGGAAATGTGGGAATTATTAAAAAAAAAAATACTGGTAGCTAGTGGTAAAATGCGTTTACGTTGCTTTGTATGTGTCCAGAATGCAAAGGCAGGAGAGTGCCTGGGAAGCCTAGCTACTGTACACTGCCCCCCAAATCTACAGCAACAGGTGTATGTTTGCTTTTTTTTATATTCAAAATTGATGTGCTTTAGTGTCTGCTTTTTAAGTTTTATCTACTTTTCAGAGTCCCCATCTTGTTGTGCCGAGACTGACCTGGACCTCACTGTGGCGCTCAGGCTGATCTTGAACTCTTGATCTTACTGCCTCTACCTACAGAGTCAGGGCGTGGCAGGTTTGCCCAAAACGTACCTGGAAAATGCACCAACACTTTGTTGAGTTTTGGAGTTGTGTTTGTGACAGAAGTGGTTTTGTTGTTTCTGTTCTTTGCCTGGTTTGGGTATTTGGGTACTGCTGCTTTAAAGAAGGGGTTAAGTAGGACAGCGCACAGCCTCTGTACCCTGAAGTGACTGCAGGGAATTGAGGAGGCTGTGCTGGGGTCAGTCTCTGACACCGTCCAAATGAAAACGTGGGGAATTGGTATTTATCCCCTAAATGTTTTGAGGAGTTTGCCATTGACTCTATACAGCACTTAAGGCCAGGCAGGTAGCACACACTTATCATCTCCAGACTCAGAAGGCAAAGGCAGGTAGAGCAGCCTGTTCTACACGAAGAGTCCAGGCCCATCAGTGCTATACAGTGAGACCCTGACACAGAAAAAAAAATCTTTTTAAAGGTGGGGCCAGTAAGTTATCTTGGCCGGTAAAGGTGCTTGGCACCCAGCCTCCTGATCTGAGTTCAATTCCCAGTACCCATGTGGTAGAAAAAAAGAGCCGAGTCTCACAAGTTATCCTCTGACCTCTATGGGCACACAACAGTGCCCACACTCCTACACATGTACACACAGAGTGTGTTTTAATAAAGTCAAGATGATTGGCACCCAAAGAATGACACCGAAGATTGACCGTTCGCCCTACATATACACACATATAGACAATCCTTCATATACACACATATGTACACACACACACACACACACACACATGCACCTACAGTCGCGCAGCACACACACACACACACACACACACACACACACACACACACAGAATGTACACAGGAAACTATAAATATGTGGTTTCCATATGAAAAGGGCAGGGAAATGGAGGATAGAGGAAAGGAAAGGAAGGAGGAATTAGTCATCGGACTGGAAGGCACCCAGAACCGACAGTTCCAGAAGACCTGATTCTCTAAGTAGAAAACAACAGTGAATCTATCAAACTAAACAGAACATATTAGAACCAGTAAACAGTTTTAAGTTCATAGGAAATAATATTTCTACAAAAATTGTATTTCCATAAACCAACAAACATGAAAAGGAAGCTAATCTAATTCTACAGTTTCATTCACAAAAGGAGGAACTATTTGGAGGTGAAGCGTTTAGGAGAGGAAGGGAAGCTGTGGTCAGTGGGTGCTGGGTGAGGACAGCCATCCTCCAGAGGCATCTGTGATTTCAGTGCAGCCCTCACTCAGAATCCCAGAAGATTCTTAGGGGGAGGGAAATTTGGCACACTAACCCTAAAATGTATATTGAAGTGCAAAGGACCTAGAATGCCTGAACACAGGGAACTAAAAAGGTAAGGACTTTGCATGTAACCAGTGATTACAAGAGAAGTAGAATCTTAGTAAGACATTTTCATGGGATCGCCTAGGAACGTTCCCAGGATACTGCTTAGACATTCGGGTTAATTTTCCAAACCTGTGAGTTTGATGGTAGAGAACTAGGCAGTCTGCTTTAATAGGGAGCAGGGGAGTGAAGGTGCAGAAGGACCTACTGCAGCCGTGAGGAGGATGCTTCCGGAAAGAGCTGGTGCTCTACAGTTGGTGAGAACAGCTTTTAGAGTTGGCCTTCTTTAAGAAGATAGATCTGTTTTATGTTGATTTGTTTGTTTTTGCTTTTGTTTTAGCTATGGGTGGCTACTGTAGTTGCTGATGGAAGCCAAGGTCTTGTCCTGTATCTGAGCTCCAGTGTGTGTAAGTGTAAGAGAATCATGAGTGGGAAATCGTTGTCCACACAACATTTTATATGGCCAAGTACAATGTCTCAGAGCTGTGGTCCCTTGAATTGTTAAAGAAACATAATTTTAGTTTGGGTTATATTTTCCCACTGGGTGCTCAAGACTATCTAGGTAACCAAAATTAATTTTAAGTTTTGTACGATTAAGGCCAAATGAAGATCTAGTCCTCAAGGGCTCCTGTGATTTTTGAGGAACCTCTGGCTCCTTGAACTGATCTTCACCAGTTGTCCATCTATGTGAGGATAAGCGAAGGCTTTTCCCACCCTGGCTGTGACTTCCCTGGAAGCACGGAAGTGATCATCGCTCTGTGCTGACCCTCTTTGTAGACTGGACTCTGTTAAACTCATTAGGGATCTCCATGGCCTCGCTGAACAAGAGAACAGGTGATTTTCACAGTTACAGAACATTTCTAGAGATGATCAGAGACCCGTGGCCCTGATTAATCTAGTGGGCGAGGGGGAAGTATTTTCCCTTTTAGTCCCTCTGACCATATGAGAATAGCCTCAAGGATGGTTCCTAACATCCAGAAGACCAGTTACACCTGTGCTTTTAGCTACGATTTGATATTTTACTAGTCAGATACCTTTAGATAAACCTTGATAAACTTAGATTTTAGCCAGTTTTTGTAGTTGTTGTTGATAAATGTCAAGACATTTAATATCATGCATAGCATCTTTAAGTCTTATCCTTTATGCACCTTAAATTACTTACTCAGACCTTCATAACTTCCAAAAGCTTAATCTTTATACCCAAATCATCTATATTTAGACAGTTTCCATCTTTTCGTCATTACAACATTTTTATTTCTTAATACCATGATACATGATAGCTTTAGAAATGAATTTACTAAATCAATTTAGTACTCAGTACAAATGTAAAGAAAAAACCATAATCATATAAATAGACAGTTTGTATCTATTTAATCATATATAAGACATATTTTTAAAAACTAAGATTTTAAACATTGTTCGTTGAATTTTTTTTGATTTTTATTGTGAAAGAGAAACTTAATTTAGAGACGTTTAGTAATCATATTTTTAGACTTGGCAGAAACAAAAACAGTCCTGTGTGAAACAAAGTGGTCTGAGGAGGAGAGAATGTTTTATCTCTGGCGCATGCTCAGAGAGAGCAGGCAGAAGTACCAGACATGGCAATGCTACTTGGAGGCCCTCCAGCTCCCAGCAGAGGTACCTATAATCTACCGTCTGAGGCACCAGGCCTTGAGCAATGCCAGGGCCAACTAGGTGACCCAGAGACTGGCCTCCAGTTCCATTGAATCCATGAGACATGCATTTCTTTTACTTCCTCCTATTAACTCTGTTACCAACCAGAGGAAAGAGACAAACTCCCAAATAAAGGCCACACAGACAAAGATGGATGCTCCACCTAATGAACTGCCTCATCCTTCCCAGGACCAGGCACTCCTCATCATTTCTGACATCCACCACACCCTGCATAGAGGTCCCAAGGCTTTGTTCCCCTCCTTAGAGCCATTCTTTGATCCCACCAATCCTCAAACCCATATATATATTTATTTATTTATTTTTACAGATTCAATCTTCCTGCCAGAGATGCACCAAGGTCAACTTTCTTCAGGGGGCTCTCCAGATATGACAATCACTGCACCCAATCCATGACACCAACCAGACGAGAGCTAGCAGATTGACTTCACCCATATAACCATTCATAAAAAGCTCTACTATCTCCTAACCCTCCCGATACCTTGACAGGGTGGATCAAGGCATTCCCAACTTCCAGGGAAATGATGGATGTGGGTGCTCAGGCACTCCATAAACACATCAATCCTCAGTTTAAGCATCCAAAGAGACAACGGTCCAGCCTTTACTCCCAAAGTGGTGGAGCTCATCTCTAAAGTTTTGAACATTTCCTGGAAACTGCATATTCTGTATCCTCCACAGTCACTGAGAGCCAAAGGCCTCATCAAACAACTCTCCCAGCTCTCCCTGGAGCTCAGGTTGCCTTGGCCCTCCTGCCAACCTCCAAGCCATTCCATGCTCTCCATTGGCCTAGCCCCTTTGAGCCCCTGCATGGATGGCTGTTCCTCCTCAACCACCATCTGGTGGCCCAGGCTCCCTCAGTGGCTGGCTACTTTCCCTTCTCTGGTCCCTCATCCATTCACATGCTACACTCTCTCTTGGTCACCACATCAAGGACTCAGCCACCACCAAACATACCCTTCCTTCTCCATGGGATTGGATGTCTCTTAAACAGCTCTCTTCCAAGCTTTTGGAGCCTCAGTGGACAGGACCCCATACGTAATCCTCACTATCTCCTCAGCAGCTATGTTCTTAGGATATCAGTGTTGGAACTACCTACCCAGGCTTAAAAGGGCATCTAAAAAGGATAGTTGGTCTGTTCATGGGCTGGTCTCCACCACCCTCTGGTTCAAACAGCAAACTCTATTGGCACTATAGGGACTCCTTCCTACCCATGTGAACCCTCAGCTTCTGGAAGGTCTGTACCCAGGTAATTCCAGCAGTCTTTGAACAGCTGATGAAAACAAAAATGTCTACCAACAGGAGAGTCCCTCCTGTCCCAGGTGATGGTGTTCCACCAGTCTCAGGTGGACCAACGGGACCTATGCTCCACTCTAGAGAAACGTCCCTTGATGTGGGATGCCCCTTATATGGTGTGAATATGTATTATTACCATGACCATTTGTTAACAGAGCTGTTTTGGCCAATAGCCAGGCAGAATAGAGCCAGGTGGGAAATCCAAGGAGAATTACAGGGAAAAAGGAGGTGGAGTCAGGGAGATGCCATCAAACACCCCAAGGAACAACATGCCATAGCATTACTGCTAAGCCACGGGTACGTGGCAATACACCGATTAATAGAAATGGGTGAATGTAAATGAATGTAAATGTAAGAGCTAGCAGGTAATAAGTATGCTATGGCCAATCAGTTTGTAATTAATATTAAGTCTCAGAGTGATTATTGGGGAACTGGTGGGTGGGAGAGGAACCCCTAGTTACACTCTCTTCATGGCAGTACCTGTGTGAACCCCTTTTAAGGCCCTACCTTCTTCAATTCTACCACCAGTTCAGTCTTCCCTGATCCCGAGGATTTCCCTTTTCCAAGACCCCCTAGACTCCCAGTTTTCCTTTTGCTGTTCGGGGTTCGCTCCCACTCTCCAACATCACTAACTCACCATCAACAGTCATTTGTGCACCCCTGGGAGGGTTCTGGTGGAAGGGGAGCCTGCCTAAAAATCTCTCATCCACAGTCTCTCCACCCACCTCCCTGTGCCAGCCCTAGTCTCTCTGCCTGCCTGCCAGTGGATCGGGCTATAAGATCTCATCTTCTGGACACAGAGGCTTCCGCAAATACAGTAGTGCATAATAGGTCCTACTAGGTGCCTACATGCCACCCTACAAACACTGCTAAGCATCCTGTCCCTGGACCACCATCCCACATGGGTTATCAGGATATGGTTATCAAGTCAAACTGAATATGACCTCTGCCTCCATGGCAAGTGCACATACAGTGCTCTGTATCTGGTCCAGCTGGACACGGACACTCCTCCATCACACATAATACAGTAGGCATCACTGTACCATCCCACCCCGACTTCAGCCAACATACTTGGCTATTTTTCAGACACTGCTGGAATGCAGGTCACTGCCACATAAAAATTTGTAGGTATCCGGCCTTGCTTGACACCCTACCTTTCTGCTATACCACATACGCTACTAGGCCACGCCAGAGGACTGTTCATCAAGGCTGGAAAGGAGTGGTGCGTTTTGAATGCTAAGAGGGCCAAAGCGTGTTTCCAGGAGGGCCTGATGGGTAACACTTTGTGTGGGATGGTAGAAGGAATCCAGCACCTGTGTTAAGCTGTGTAAGTTTGATGTCAGCAGGGAAGGATGCCCATCAGAACCAAATACATAGTAACTTTTGTGTTTTGTGCAGGTGCTGAGAGAGCTTCCAGCATGGGTGTCAGCAGCCTATGTGGGAGGGATCTTACAGGGCCTATGTCTGATAGTGCATTTAGAGCAGAGTCTAAGGAGTATACAGCAGAGTCAATACTTAGACACTATGTGCCTAGCACTATGTGTGGATTCGTTACGGGAGGCATGGCTGGCAGCCTCTGGTACCTAGGAATACACACATGATAATGGAGACCGTGGGGTGTCCAGCCGGGCATAATGTCAAGCGCTAAGTATGGGGCAACCACAGGTGGGGAAGTGGCCAGCAGAACCTGATAACTAAGGCTGTATTTGGGGTGGTTGGGGATATCCATCAGGGCCTGATACCTGGCACTGTATGTGAGGTGGCAGCAGGGTGTGGCCATGCTATATAGGCTAGCCCTGCTATTCCAATATATTAGCTGTCCTCAAAACAGTCTCCTGGGTCATTCATATGTGCCATACTCACTGCTACCTGAGATCCTGCTCTTCAGCTCCTCTGAATCCTGGGAACACTGGTGTACAATGGCCGATTGGGGTCAGGGGACCCACAATATACCTAGTTTTCTGTATGTGGCATGTAGGGTGACAGTA